ATGGGGAAAGGAAGAAAACTAGCCAGCCAGATTAAAATAAATAAACAAATAAATAAAGAAGAAAGAATAAGAAGAATCTCATCCCATAAATTGTTCTTTGCCACCAGCCTGCCAGAAGGCCTGTGTCTCCAAGGTAGGATTTAGGGATGGGCTCAGCTTGCCCATGGATGGGTTCCCAGCAGAAGTGCGATTCCAAGCTACCACATCACGAATTAGTCACTTCTCTTGATCTGTTTTTTACTTATCAGTGATAATGTAATAATGTAATAATGCGGATACCTGCATTTCTACTGCAGGTTCTAGTTACAATAAAAGGTATATTTGGATAGTTTAAGGGATGTTCAAAATGTAAGAGGCTGGATTAGCGCAGAACAGGGTGGCAACAAGAAGCTCCCATGCAAAAAACCCTCTCAGTCTTCATGAAAAATGTTAATAGCAAAGCAATTCAGGGACTCAACACAGTATGAAAAAAACTCCTATAAAAATCATACATTTACGAACAAAGACAACTTCTAAAGTGTTTACATGAGTAACACTAAAAGGGATAGGTACCAAGAGTTATTTGGTAGGTTGCATCAGCAAAGAAAAAAATCAGAAAGCTCAAATGCAGAAAGAGAATCCATTAGTAACTCCCTTGGGGGAACACAGGGCCAGGACACAAACATTCACTGTATTTAAACATACCGAGATTATCTGCAAGCTGAGCAGCTTTAACAAAAGATAAAGCGAAAACCCCACACCTCTGCGGATGCTCAGTGCGGGTGCAACACGAGTTGAAGAGTTGAACAGCTCAGCCCGTGGAGTCTGTCCTTCACTCAGGCTCAGCTCTGGAGCAACTTGGGAGCAGGGAATGCCGGCTGGGGGCAAGTGGGATGCAAACCTCACTGCACCCAGAGGAAGGATGCAGCAGTCTCAAGTCAAAAGGCACAGCAGCTCGAGTCCCTGATCCCACAGAGTGAACAGCAGCAGGCTAAAGATAGTCCCTGGCTTGTAATGCCATTGCACAGGGTGGATTTCAGCTGCACAGAGCTGCTGGGATGAGACATTCCTCTCCCTCAAGGAGCCAGACAAGATTACTGTATATGGGCAAGCGTTCCCCTGCGACAGGCTTCTCCCTCCACGGTAAACAGGCGATCCTCTGGCTGCACAGCTGGGAGAGATCTGTGCCATCTCGCAGGGCCACAAGGATTCACGCTGTTGGAAACTCAGAATAATGTTTTTATCTCGGGGCAATCTAGCAAAGGGGGCAGAACCAGGCAGGAGAAGGCCTATGAACAGCAGCACAACAAAAACTTTTGTTTAAATTTTAGTAGCTTTTAACCATCGAATAGATCTTGAGCCCCAGACTCCTGGTGGTGGTTCGCTCTGGGTCTCCACAAGCACATAAACCTGCCAGTCATACAGCAGCTGCCCCGGAGGCTGCTACTCACTGCAGCTTCTGATGAGATGCTCAAATTGAGCTGGGATCACATGTGGACAGGGGCTGTGGAAGGGCAGAGCACAGGGACTATCGCACACAGCCTATCCCTGACCTCCCACAGCTGCTGTCGTGCCCGCTCCCGTGCTGGGAGCACGGCGAGGGTCTGGCAGGATGGGCAGCCGGGGAACAGCACCATCCACCAGCGCAGGGCCTGGAAACTGTTCACGTGTCCTGTCTCAGACCTGCATGGGAACACAAAGCTGGACCTCCAAGTTCAGACTCGAGGTCTCACAGGAGTATTCGGGAGCAGACGGCCTTCGCTGGCTTTTGTACGAATTAGAGTAGAGCAGCGCGTGGGGGGCGCTGCCTGCGGCAGAGCTAGTCTGGATGAGCACTAGTTAGGAGAGCAGATCAGCTCCGCAAGTACTCTGTACAGGTCATGTGCTACTCCCTTCCTAACAAAACGGTACGACCAGCTGCAAAGGAGAATGACTTTAGTCCTAATTTAAATGACATACCATATTCTTTGGACTATCCCATTTCTTTGCAACCCACACCGAGCCTCAACTCTGCAACTGTTCTTACCCAAGCCAATCCCAGGGCAGGCACAAAACCCCGCACAGCTCGAGCAGGGGTCTGCTCCTGTGGACTATACTCAGCGCCATAGCTGGAACAAAGCTTTTTTTATTATTATGTTTTTTTCATCCTTTTTTTCTTCTTTTCCAGTTTTAAAGGCTGAACTAAAATCAAGCCAAGCTGAGGTCACGATGGTGGTTCTGCTCTGAGCTTCCTGTTGCCATACCAGAACAATTCTCACAGTACAGGGACAGCGACAGATTGGCACATCATGGAATAGGTGCTATAGAAACCACGCAGTTCTTAGAAGCAAAAGATTTCTTCTCCCCACCTCTCAAAAAATAACTCACTTAATTCACATATATTCTCTCTATACTGTATATATATATATTATATATAGACACAATTTTCTGGTAAACATTTACAAGATATTGTAAAGAACATTGAAAAGATATATCTCCATTTGCATAACAATGCACACTCACATACTTCAGTATACAAGGACACACAGTAATGTACAATCAATAAATAAATACCTTTTTCCCCCAGAAGTTATTCAAAAAACACTGCTATTGAGCGGCCCAAAGACACTCTCAGTTAATACAGACAGCAAATATTGTGCAGAATTTCTTGGCTGTTTTTGCTTAAAAACCAAGGAAAGAAAAACAGAAGCTTGAAAGATAAAGTGTCAGCGACATTGCTTGATAAGACTGTATTTAAGCTGACCTGTTGGTTCTTGTCCTTCAGAAAGGGGAGGAGAGAGCACTTCCCCTTTGGAGAATGTGATGCAGGCAGACTATTACCTGTCCTAGGACCTAGAGGGAACAGGAACAGCCTGGTAGGGAGTGCACAAGCTTTTCGTTCTGCTTTGGGGAAAGATGAAAGATTCACACAGTACTGGCAGATTTGAAGCTCAAATGCCTTTGTTTCCTGTGCTACTATAGACCAAGCACTCTTTGGAGATTTAATGCAGAAAATTGCTTCAAAGAATTTCCTAGATTGGTGGTACACATTTGCTTGTTGGGATTATGAGAAATGAAAGGCTCCCCATTGCTCTCACCCCCTGCTGCAGTCCTCTTCCCCAAAGGGTTCGGGATGCACTACTGTTCCCTTGTTTTTCTAGCTGCAACCTTCATGTCCCAGTACTGCAGAAAGACTAGCTGATTTGCTCAGAAACTGCAAACCGCTTCACCACGCTCTGCAGAACTTTTCTGAAGCAGCAGTCTTCTCTTCTGCTGATTTACATCTGTCTTTTTTCTGCAAGCAACATCTGACACATGCCACAAGTAAATACAAAACACAGTCAGCACAGACAGATGTTCCACAGAAGAAGGGAAGGGCCCCTTTTCCCTTCTGGTGAGCAGCACTCCAACAGCAAGAGAAGAGCAGGGCCTTATCTTGCAGAGGGGAGGAGGAGAGCACACACACATCACACATTGCATGGAGGGGGAACACAAATTTTTGCAGCAAAACTTGAGAGAAAGTACCCTTATAGAGAGCTACAAGCCAGCGTCTTCCTGGCTGCTGAAAGCACACATTCAAGGCAGCCTTCTGTGGCCATGACAAAGCCCTCCCTGGCTGAACTAGACCTACCAATAACCTATACCTCTCCTTTTCCTTTATTGTTTTTACCTGAGTTGAAAAATGAATCCAAACCCTCCGTAGCGCAGCCTTAGCATGACACAGCAGCTCAGCTCTCACGCTGGTAGTGCTGGAGAGGCACTTCATGCAGTGTGCTCCAGGGGCTGCAACACTGGAGAGCCACTGCAGGAAAAGTGGCCACAGAAGTGCATCTTCCAAAAGCAAAGACCACTCAGGGACCTTGGGTTATTTTCCTCTTCACAGACATGTGAAAGAAGCCCACCAAGACCTAACTGGAGACTTTCAGTGGACTTAGGGGGCTTTACAGCCAGCCCCAGAAGCACACAGAAAACCTGCAGGCACCAAGGGGATTGTTTGCACTGTCTAGCTTTGAGCAGCTGGTCTTTTAATTAATAGAGGAAGGCACCTTCAGAGGGAAAGTCAGGACAGTCACCGAAGTCGGGAGCTCTGACTTGCCTTCTGAGGAGCTCTCCCCTAACAGGGTTACAGAGGAACGACAGGGAGACCAGACTCCTAACACAAGCAGCTAGAGTAAGGCAGGTAAGAAAACCTCAAGTCTAGAGTTCCCAGAGGAGGTTAGGACCAGATTTTCCAGTGTTCAGAGAGCATTACAGAAGCTGGATTTTGAAAGAAAAACCCAATGCTGAATTTGGAGCTCTTCTGAAAATCCATCCAGAGCTGAAACTCTCGTGTGCTCAGATATTGTAGTAACAATGTCAAAATCCCAGGGAGAGAACAGAGCCCTAAAAAATAACTAAAGGGGATGCTATGCATCAAGGGACAAGATCAAAAGAAGAGGAATTTCTGTGATCAAAGTCCCTCTCTGTTACTGGCAGAACCTCATAATGTTAGTAAGAAACTGAGTACTAGCAGCATCCCTGTATTGCCCAGGCTTGCAGGGCTGGCTGGCTTCCCCGTGCCACAGGGTAACAGCTGTCCAAGGAAGCAGCTTTATTTCCTTGCAACAAAGGCTGTCGAGCCTGAGTCAGCCCCGAGGAGGGTTGGCAGCTCTGCCCTCCCAGACCCCGAGTTCTGACCTGGGATGCTGGCAACTGCCTCGGCAGTTGTGGTGGTAACCACACTCGCTGACCTTCTGCTGCAGCAAGGCGAGGAAGCGACTGCCTGAGTCCTGCTTCCAAAGCAAGTCCTTAGCAATAAAATGCAATTGTACAGATCTTTGGTTAAGTCACTGAAGAAGGCTGCGAAGATCTGAGCCAGGGCCCCTGGACCTAACACTGAACACAGCACTTGGAGAGCTAAGGGTACTTCCAGTTTAGACAGCAGCATGTGTCCAACTACCTTATTTTCACAGGTGTGGCACTTCGAGAAAAAGGAGAAGGGGAGGAAGCATTGAAGGGGAGTCCCGACTCTTTGTCTGGATGCCTCGTCTTCCCCATGTCCGTCATTTGTTCTCGATCAGAGTCTGGACTTTATAGACAAGGTCCCGAGCCAGCTTCAGGATCTGCTTGGTGTTGTGCCGCTCAGCCATTTCTGGAACATAGACAGAAGGAACCCAACAAAGAGGCTAGACCCGAGCAGCTTGGCATCTCGAGGAGAAACCCCAGCCTCACAGCTCTGTGCTTCTCAGCCAAGCTCCAGGCGGGAGCTGAAGCTGCAAACTCCTACCCAAGTTCCCAAGTACTATCCATCACAGAGACACCTTACTCTGAAGAGCCATCATTAACCAACTCATCTTGGGATGATTACAGCCAGCAGGAAGTACAACCTACGCTCACAGCTCCCTTCAAGCACAGCAAGGCGGGCTGTTGCCAGGGTGGCAGGGTGGCTTCCCCCAGGCACCACACCAGACCCCCTCAGAGCCTGACTGTTGAGGGGCAAGGGGTCTCTACCATCACGTTCCAAGTATCAGCATTGCACAACCATATACTGCTCTGTTTATTTTAAACATTTACCAGTATAGCCCAGATATGACTCTCTCTAGTAAGACAGACATGGGCTGCCTACATCTGAGCAGCTGCCACAAATTCAGCCCAAGAGAACACAAGCTGTACCGTTGAAAAACTTGATGATGTCTGTAAAATCCATGTTGTTCTCCAAGATTATGTCCCGGTACATTTCCACCAAAGCCAGGGCTATGAAGAGCACATAGTGTGCAGAGGAAACATGCGCAGCTGCCCAGATGGTCTCCCAGACGGCAAACACGTCATCATACACCAGCTCTGTTAACAGAGGAAAAAGCCCAGCAGTTACTACACCAGCCACGAGTTTACAATCATCCTGACTCACAGAGTTCACGGCAGCACTGGGAAGACACGCTGGGTGGTTTCTTCTCACAAGAACCTGTTCCAGTTGGAAGCAATAAGTAAGTAGAGACAAATATTCTGGCCTGCAGCAGGTGGCAGAGGCTTCAGGACACAAACCCGGTGGAGGCTCACCAGCAGCTCTGGAACAACAGGTTCTGTATCGAGACAGAAAAGTCAGCCACAAATCTACCAGGGAAAAGCAAAACAGGAACACATGGTAAAAAGTGAAGTTCAAACAACTGAAGTTGCAGAGTGTGTTGAGAAGCATGGAAGCTTGGCAGACCTTGCCTTCTCTCCCCACTTTCTGGTCTCAGCTGCCTCCCTCCCAGCACACACCTCTCTTGAAGTCCAGGAGAAACCACCGGTAGCAGAAGTAGAAATGAGTGTAATCACCATTCTGGTGCATCAGCTCGAAGAGCTCAGAGTCCAGAATCTGCCAAGAAAAGCAAAAGGAAACTCAGCAGCGCACGCCAGAGGCACCAGCCATTCCTCTGTCTGCCTTCCTCCATTCCCACTGCTCTCCTACCACACCATCTTCCTCCCAGCTTCTCCCTCCTTTGCAATCCTGGCACACGTTACTCCCAGGCTGTCTTTACAGCCCCCTGCTCTCCCTCCTGCTTCCCACCACTGAAAGCTCCTCTCAGCCCCTCTGAGACACCCATCCCAAGAACGGCTTTACCCTTCTGGTTTGAGAGGCTGCCGAGCCTGTGCCAGGACTCCCCCACCTGGATCAGAGATCTCATGTTGGCAAAGTGGGTGTCCATGGCTCCTCCGTGGGGGAAGTTCTGATTCATCCTCTTCATAAGCTCGGTGAAACAGCTGAAAGCCAGAGCCTCTGTGCAGAGAATAGAGACAGCCACTGCTTGGTTGCACAGACACTGCTGCATCTGGACCCGCATCACCACACCCCGCCATCCACCCACAGCAGGAATATCCCTCCTTGCTCCACACACAGTGTCAGGGGCACACAGCAGGGACTGGCTTCGGAAAGATAGCTCATGCTGCAAAAAGTACACGCTGTCCCCAGGTTGAGCTCCCAGGAGTCAGAGACCATCAAGTACAAATGTGATCCTGCCACCAGCTGCTCCACATCTCTGAGCATGGGACCCTCCCACTGCAAAGGGCTACCACCAGCCCAGCAGATCCCCCCATACACTCCCACAAAAGTGTGGGGACAGCGCAGCAGAGCACCCACTCACCATCATCCAGGATGACCAGGAGAGGGGCTAGCAGGTCACACATCCCCTGCACATAGCCAATCTCAATGTGCTGCCAGATGTAGCTGCGTGAGAGAGCAAGAAAGGTGGCCCGTGAGCCTTCCCCGTGCCACACATGAGTGCCACAGCCTGCCACCTCGCTTGGCCTGCCTGCCTCTCTTCCTGGGATGCTGGCATTTCCTACATGCTGCCACCAATGCTCAGCAGCAGGCAGGGCAAATCAGACCTGTTTATTCTGTTACACCTGTGCTCCATTCCTCTGCAGCCTGCCTGTAAACGATTAAGTTCCCGTGTTGACTTGCAGGTAAGCCATGCATGGCACAGCCCTGGATCAACACCCTGCAATGTTGATCCAGGGCTATGCTATGGCCATTGCATGGAAATCAGTGCAAGGAAAAGTGAAATAATTTTTGCTTTTGCACAGCAAGGGGAAGGTGGTTGGTCAAAGGGCAGAGACTGATAGAGTTTGTCAATTTATCTCTCATTCTCACCCTTCCCCCTCAATTCATCCTCTTGGCGCTCTCTGCATGATATTGCCTGCTTCACCTCACTGGACCCAGTCTCCCAGGAAGCAACCAGCCCTGCAGAGATATCTTCCCATATTTGGTAGCGAGTCAAAATGTGTTCAGAGAGGACTCAGATCCACTGCTGGCACAAGGGAATAATCTTTTCCATCCTGCCCACTAGTTTTCCAAAATCTGCTGTATTGTAGGTCTCATCTCAGCAGAGATCTCCAACTCTGGCTGTTAGATAAAGTGACAGCTCTAATGAAATAGCACCTTCTCCTCATATTTGCAAGATGAGTAATAATATTTCAGCCTTCGCTGCCCTGAAGCAGCCGCAGCTGCTGAGCTGGAGCTCATTTGAGTCCGTGAATGTCACACAGCAACCTCTTAGTCACAGGGACTAAGCAAAGAGAATCAGAAACGCACCCAGGTATTGCTGTCTCCTGGGTTCTTGGGTAGGCATTAACCACTCGGTCGCTTCAGGCACTTCCTCATTAGCACTACAGCTCTGCAGGCTGATCCTCATTAAAACATTTTCCAGACATATTCCAGAGAGCAGGTGGGCTGCGCTGAGTTCAGACCACGGGGCAGCATGCCTGGGCAGCCCCAGGGAGCCCTCTGCGTTGGCCAACAACCCAGACACACGGCAGTCACGGGGCAGAGCAGCACAAGGCAGGACGGCTGGACTCCTCGGTCTGGTAACCGTGAGGTCCTTGGACCTGTGGCCCCAGTTCTGGGACGATGAGGGGATTTGGGGGAGGAAATCAAGGAGGCAAAACTCAGTAACCAGAACAAAGTTTGAGGCTGCAGCCTCAAGGTGAATTCAGGAAAACCAGCCACCAGCGTCAGGAGCCTGCTCCCATCACACGGAGGGCTGGCAGGCGCCCACCCTTACCCCCACAGCTCCCACCTGCACATGATGTTGCGGAGTTTCTCCAGGTTGGCAGGGGTGAAGTACCAGTAGTTGCGATCACACCGCTGCACGTCCTTCTCAATGCGGTGCAGGTTCACCGTGTACATGTCCAGTAGCTCTGGCTGCCCAAAACAAAAGCAAAGCCGATTTGTTTTTAAATAGAAACCAAAAAGGAAGTTGCAAGGGCAACAGAGCGACAGGGCAGAGTTTGGGTGAAAGGTGGAGAGCCCCTGTACACCCAACTGCAGGATTAGCACAGGGCAAATGCAGGTTAATAGTGAGGCACCCAGGAAGAAACCCATTCGGTGAACAAGTCCATACTTACAGAGTAGGTGACACCGGTCGAGGAGACAGCAGACGCTTCACTGTTGGCCAGATCAGCTACAGCCAGAGAATCCAGCTGTGGGTACAAACTCTCCATCTCTGGCTCCTCGGAGAGATTATCTTCACTCTCCACCAAGCTTTGCTTTTCAGCCTCGCTGTCTGCCCAGCTCTCTACCACAGTCAGGGCCACAACGTCACGATCATGCAGGACCCTTGCCGAGCTCTCACCCATGGGAACAAAGTCCACGCTTCCACCAGTGGGAAATACACCTTCCAGGCTGTCTTGGCCCTGCAGCTTCTCCTCCTGCTGGGCACCATCCTGGTCCTGTGGACCTGGCATGTCAGACCCACCAACCTTTCCCTGAGAGCTGGCTGAGGATTTGTTGGTTTCCAGGGCACTGTCCTCATTGCTGAAGCTGCGCTCTGAGAATCCCGAGGCGATGGAGAAGTTCTGGGAAGAAGGGTGGCCAGAATCAGGGGAACACATGCCGTTGGGAACCGTCCCGTTGGGGATCTTGCTTTGTTTGCCATCTTCCAGCTGAGCATCTGCTTCAGTCTGTTCCACTTCATCAACAGATTCAAACACCTGCAAAGCACGAGCAGAGCACCATGTGAGAGCGAGCAAACCCCCTGCATTCAGCAAACTGTTGGGAACACAGGCATTATGTCCCCAAGAGCTGCATTCAGCGGTTTAACTGCAGCTCTTAGGGACATAATGCCCATGTTCCCAACAGTGGGGAGGGAGGAAGATCTGGTCTATATGTGCAGGGCTTATACAAGCAACCAGTGGAAGAAAGCTCAGAGGACTTGAGGGCATTTTAACTTACTAGTGCTCTGCCTGGCTGTGGCTCCATATCTTCATTATAGCCAGAGACTACTTCAGCCTGAGCATCTAGCTCTCTGTCCCATTTTAACTAGACTCTTGGAGGAATTTCTGGGCACAGTCCTCAGCCTTTAGGTTCCCCTGCCTGGATTTGGCAGGTCAGTGCTCAGTTATTTGCGCAACTCGGAGCCCACAGTCCCTGCTCCAAAGGACTACGCTTTACTTAGCATAATATATTGGGCAGAATGTCATTTAAACAGGTTGGTTAAACACATGGTTACTAACATACGGAGCAGCCAAGGGCCCTCAAGTGTGAAGGCCACACAGGGGTTGGTCCTTTGAGCCTGGGCAGAGCAGGCTGGTGAATATTAAACATCGCCAAGCAGTGCACAGTTCTGACCTTAGTGGCTCCAGAGGCAGGTTTGCGAGTCATTTACCTCCTCCAGCTACCGCTTCTGTTTGCCAGAAATCATTACAGTTATTGACTAGTGATCAGCCCAAGCCAGGGCAGGGAGCCATATGTTGTTGGGTGGCTGGTGTCTGAACAAGCAAGAGGGGACAAAGCGCTGCTGCTCACCTGCGTGCTGGAGCTGGAGTCGCTCTGCAGCCGGGCATGATTCTGTTGGCCAGAGCTGCAGCTCTGCGAAGACTGCAAGAGAGAAGGAAACGGCCAGTGAAAAGGCAAAGAGCATGGTGTCTGGAGTGGGGGGAGGCTCATGCCACACTATCAGAGGTGGGCACATCTGCATGTAAAGAACAAGCAGAAAAGGCATCCAATAAATTCTCATATTTGACCCATGAAAGATGTTCACATCACATCAACTCTGTTGTGCAGATTTGTCACAAGCATGGCACCCTGCCTCAGCCTGCCACTGACATTTACTGCAGGAGAAGATGACGAAAAACAAAGTCCCAGGCCAATCCAGTTGTTCAAACACGGTATGTTTGGGTCTGAAAGAAACTGCTCTCTTCTGGCCTTCAGAGAGGTCACGCTGTCTCCCTGGAGTGCAAATTTCTACAAATCTCTGTCCTAATTTGGCAGCAATGCAGCTCACCCCATCTTAGTTTACATAAACGATGAAGTCACAGGCTATAAAACAATCCCTCCAAGCATATTAATGTTTTTTTTCCTTTTCTTAAAGGACAAATATTGATGTTACAAGCCAGACTCAGCCAAGGCAGCCCCTCTAAAAGTCAACAGCACCTTTTTCTGGCTTCCAGTTCAAGCACAGAAGGAAGCATCGGGCTTTGCAGCAACCAGTTCAGAGCTCTGCCTCGTGGATTCCCTCTGAACAACGAGTCTTCACTAAAGAGCAAGTTCTCCGTGTTATCTGAGTCGCCCCTGCGCCAGGCTTGTTGTAGCACAGGAGCCTGCAGCTGCTCACACTGCACCCAAGTTGGGATGTACAGAGCATTGCAATGACATCACACACAAACAATAGGGTTTTAAGAAAACACAGCACTTTCAGAACAGCAGCAGGAGTTGTCCCCACCCTAGTATTGTGGGTGTTTGTTGGGCAGGGCTCTGATGGACAGAGGAAGGGCGACAGTTTTCCTCCATTACCATGGAAGCATTTTACAACAGGAAATTTCAGGATGAGATGGGAAAAGGGTAAACCTTTGCATGTATTGACTCTGCCAGCTCCCCTCCCAGGGCATGTTCCCAGAACAGGCAGGCATGGATACAAAAGAACCACAGCAAAGATGTGGAATGATTCCTGGGGCTTCAGCAACACCGACCATGCAGCCGACCTCCGCTCATCCCCTGCAAGACCTCTGTCATCCAGCTCTTTCACACAGACCCCGGTTCAGACTTGCTTTCCCTGCATCTCTCCATCTCTGTACACACACATAGCCTGCATAGTTGGGGCTGAGCTGATCTCTTTCCAAAAGCACCCACACAAACTCCCCAGAGGAAACCAGATGAAGTCTCCAGTGCTGCACCTACCAGCTCTTTTCAGTTTGGCCTCCGTTCACCGCTGGTGCAGCAGTGCGAGGTCAGATAACCCAGCACCGCTCGCTCTGCTGTGCTGTTCTCCAAGGACAAAACCCACACAGAAACACTCCCTGGACTCTGTTCCCAGGACTGCCTTTCCTTTAACAGGCTTTTCCCTCCACACCCTTTGGTTTGGGCTGTAGATCTAACTCCTCACTGCACTGCTAAAAGCCAGTCCCATGGAGCTGTGTGCCAGGGCCCAGCTCTGTCCCAGATCTGTCCCACAGTGGCACGGTGTACCGAGGCTGGCCTGAGCCCTGGAGGCTCCTTCACAGCCAGTCCTAGAGCCACCCCGCTCCTGCCCACAGGCAGCGGCCCAGGCTGCTTCTGTGATGGAAGAGGGAGCCAAGCCACCAACTGACCTGTTTCACAGCCCCTCAGTGCCAGAAACATGGTCCTCCTCCCTCCCCCTACTTCAACACTGACTTCCATGGAGCTAATCCTGATGTGCACCAGTTTGTACCTGAGTGCAAACCAGGAAGCGAATACTTCTTTTCCTCCAGAAATACCCACAAGGAAAATTTCACAGGACTGGTGAGAGCATCTTGGTTTGGACACGCAGCTCCACAAATGAATTCTGGCATCCTGGCTGACCCACTGCCCTCTGCCAGGACCCCCTGCCCTCTCCCAGCTGCCCCTGGCTTTCAGGCCCTCTGTGCCCAGCACCCCTACCCAGGGTCACAGATGCAGAGCTGTTCAGTGCCACTGCGGATACTGTGGCTGCAAGAACCAAAGCCAGTTTATTAGACCTCCAATACATCACTCAGGCTGCAGACCAAAACCTCTCAGTCAGTGCAGTACCACACAGTATGGAAACTGGGGTTGTACTGCAGGAGATGCCCGCTCCCAATTTCTAAACATTCTGGAAGACCAGACGAAAGAAAACAGGTAAGAAAGCTCCAGTCCTAACTTGCGCGGATTACAGTGAGCGACGAGGCACACAGGCAGGTAGACATCAGGGAAGGAGGGTGAGCAAGAGCTGTCTCCATCCCTCCCTGTAGCACAGGCCAACACGGAGTCGAGCTGGGCACAGCCCTCCCCGAAACCCCCCGCCCTCACCTCACTGCTGATCGTCGAGTCCCTGTGCATCATTCTCTGAATGTGGGAATCCAGACTGGCCCCGGAGGAGCATTTGGCCAGAGCTGCTGCGTGTGACTCCTTCTCCCGCTGCCGGACGATGGCTTCGCAACCCAGCCACTCCGCCATGGTGTGCTCATAGCAGGTGCGGATCTGGTCGTCAGCCTGCAGCATTTAAGAGACAGAGGGTCTTTGAACGGCTGTCCCCTGAAGAGCCCAGAAACCAGCACCTCCTGCATCCCCCAAACAGCCCTGCACAGAGAAATGCATGCTCATATTAACCCTGGCTAGATGGGACATAAAGTCACCTATCTCCTACACAGTGCCAGCCAGAGCCTGCCTCACAAAACCTTGCAAAAATTAGGACAGAAAAATGACCATCCATCTCCTGCCTGCCTTGCAGAAGTGTGCAGGGCACTGAACATAAGCAGCCAGCAGCTGCACAGGGGAGCATTGAGCTTGGTCCTATCAATTCCTGCTTATCTGAGTCTTTCTCCCACCTCCTATCTACAGCCGCAGTACAAAGGGGACACGACACCCAGTGGGGTTCACAGGGTGGACTCCGGCTGGCATAGACACTTTAAGCTGTGAAATATCCAGGGCACATCAATGCAATACAGCAGGCTGCTGAGCTGGCAGCACGCCCATACCAACCTCCTTCCTTTCTGCCTCCGTCATCCCAAACTGATAATGGCCCAAAAGGAAGGGCCAGACAGTCTTCCTGATCTCGTGCTGGATCCCACCATAGTAGATCAGCCGCAGCAGCTCCTGGTCCTCGTAACTCTGTGGGAATAGCTCTGAGTCAGCACACAGACGCAGCCAGGACCACAGCCCATCAGCTGGCAGATGCAAGGGCAACCCCAGCCCAGCCATGCTGCCTTTCAGCACCCAGAGTGCTGCCCAGATGCTGACCACCCGCAAACTTGCTGCCCATTCATTGCAGATGCTCTCTCAGATCTCCACTTGGGCTTAAGCGCAGCCAGAGGCCCCTGCGGATGGACATTTTGGGAAACACTGGCTCACCACAGCCAGAAAGTGGCCCAAAGTCACTCAAGGTCACTGCTGTGCCTCTGAGCCCTGGCAGCACGTCAGGACTGCAGCACTCAGTGGTCACAGCTCTCCAGCTATTCTGCTGTAACAGCATGCTGGGACCCCCCTCAAGACGACAGTAGTCAGGGTGACAGACACTGCTGCAGTCAGGCTCTGAACAGAAGCGTGCTAAAAGGAGCAGCCTTCATTCCCGAGCTTCCACATGTCAAGGATTAGGAGCCCCAGGCTATGTGCAGCCTGGGGCAGGCTGTGTGACTTCTCAGTGAACTTCTCAATTTGCTTTACCTTACCATGCTATGACCACTTAAGTGACGCTGCCCTGGACATCTCAAGCCCACCACAACTGGCATATCCCAAGGGTCTTGGCCCTACCGTGCTGTCCTGCAGGTATCTCTGCCATATGTCCACAGTGAGTCCTGAGCTGGCATTGCAGGGCACATCAGGAGACACGATGTTGTGGTGAACCAATGCAGACAGGTGGGTTCGCACCGTGGAGAGGTGTCTGCAATAGGCCAGCCCTGCATCAGGCAGAAGCAAACATTCAGCCAAGGAACTCAGGGAGCCATGAGGATGAAGTGCGGGAGAAAGCTCTGGTGAATCTGGTCCCTGAAGGAGACCCTCTGAAGCCACATCCAGCCTAAGCAGTAAAGCAGGGAGTCTACTGGGACGACAGGTCAGTATCTCATCCTGTTGTACCACCACCACTGCTGCTCGCTGGGCTTGAAGTCCGAGGATCAGAGTTCAGATGTTTGCTCCCAATCCTGAGCACGTGTAAATAGGGCCCTGCATGCAACAGACTGGTCCCAGTACCCTTGGCCACTGCCCTACTGCCTCAGCACCACTCCTAGCCCAGAGCCCAGAACCTTATCCCTTGCCCATCACACATCTCAAGGCATCATGGATGTGACAAGTACTCACAGCCATAGAAGGCCCGGGAGAGGATTTGGTACTTCATATTGTCACACAGAAGCTTCAGCGGAGCTCTGCCAATAAAAACATATCAGATGTGAGGAGAGGAAATGCTCCAACGCATTCCCTCAGCCCCTGCTTTGATCTGACTGTGCCAGCTTTGCCTTCAGAGGTGCACCACGGGACCTCTGCTCAGCTTGAGAGCAGCAATTCTTGCTGCCAGGACGTGACCACAGAGCAGCTGAGATGTCCCAGGTGAGGGGACAAGCCTCACTTCATGCTGAACACATCCCACTGGCACCTGCAAATGGTCCTTAGACAACCGAGCTGAGTGTCAGGCTGGAGACATCACTTGCACCATAATTGCTCTAGTTGAGCCATTCAGCTGGACTTTCACTTGTAACCTTTGTTTTATTTTACCTGTGTTTCTCAAAGCAAACAGCAATAGAGCCATCATACCTTTCGTGGCTGCAGCCGTTGGATGGCCCACCGTCAGAGGAGCCACTCTGAGAGCAGGAGGAGCAGGAGGACTTGCGAGTGCTGGGTTGCCACATGGGAGGCAGACCAGCACCCGGTGTGTCCATCAGGTCCTGGGGCACTGTAAGAAGGCAGAGAGAGGAGCATCAGCTACTGTCTGGCACTGCCCCTGGAGTCAGGTGAGCCCAGGGGGGGTCAACAGAGATGAGAGCTTTGATTAGCAAATGCAGCATCCCACATTCTTCCCAAGGAGACTCCAGCAACCAGGGAGGACCCACACCAGGTAATCACAGCACCAGCACTGGTGAGCTCAGGAGAAAGGAAAGGAAACAAAGAGCACTGATGAGAGAGAGTGAAAGAAAACCATCTGCTAATTAACTACGGTGCCTTCAGCAAGCTAATCTTAAACTGCTGCGTGCCAACCAATGCAGAAAACAAAAGCCGAATCCAGAGAGACTCGAGAAAAGGGGCTGCAGCAGACTGTCAGAGAGATGAGAAAAAACATGACTGAAATCAACCGCTGCTCCAGGAAGAGTGGATCACCGGAAGGAAAAAGCCCCCATCTCTCCAACGTAAGGATCCCAGCCAAGATTCAGGGAAAGAAGGGAGCATCCAAATCACAAGACAGGAGATAAAGACTTTGATGAAGAGGCTGAGAGGGACAGCAGGAGCAAGTAGCTCTTCATGTTGTCACTTGCTAAATCCCTGCTTAAACTCGGAAGTGTTACTGCAACGGCCTCGGATCCTGCTCAGGTACCGCCCCGCAAACTGGCCAGGCGCAGGGCCAGTGCAAGGGGAATGTGCAGCCCCGAGAGCCGAGCAGCCCCCACGCTGAGCAGCTTGGCTGCTGCCTGGCCTGGAATGGCCCCTGCCCTTTGGTCTTGGGCATCCCTAGGAAAAGGCCATGATGATGAAGGTGAACTGCAGGATACAGAAAAAGATTAATGGAGAATAATTCTATCTGCTCCTCCCTGGAAATTAAATCGTAGTAGAAATTCAAGCTTCCAGCTGGGAGCAGGCTTCCTCACTTGCCCTTGGTCTCACTGACTCTCCCTGCTAGTGATATTGATACTAGCAAGAAAAATGTTGAAATATTCCTATTTCCCTCATATTGAGCAGGTGCTGATGGGTCAGTGACAGTCAGCAGTGACAGGGGACACCTCTGCAGGAATTGTCAAGTGACAACACAGGCAAGCAGCAGAACCAGACACGAACGACAGCTGCATTACACCGATGCTGAGTGGCCCCCAGAGCGGCAAGGGGAGGTCGGGACGTGATGGGGAGACTCGGAAACCATTTAGGAATCACAACCATCTTGCTTGCAGCTGGAGTCCTCACGATCTTCCCTCTCATAGCAGTGATGGAGATCACAGACACAAGGAATGGATGAAAATTACCATTAATGGTAACTAGAGACACAGAGAGAGGACAAGGGCACAAATGAAAAGGGAGAAAGAAAGAATCTGTAGAGAAGAAAGAACTGACACAGTTCAGCCCCCCTCTGGGCAGGTCCACAGGAACTGCACAGACTTTGATGATGCCAGCTGAGGAGATTGCAGCAATTCATTTCACAGAAAAGTTGGCCCCCAGCATGGAATTTTAAGGGGTAGATCAAAAGGAAGCTACAGAAAGGAGCATCTCTACCTGCTGTTTTAGCCTCAATCAGATTTTTATCTGACTCACTGAATTGTGTTAGTCAGCTAAAGGCAGGAAGAACTAAGTATAATCTTAACGGATGTTATGAAGGAGTCACAGGAGATGTGATTGCCCCCTTCTAGCCTCAAGAATATAGGAACAAGTTTTGATCAACTTTCATAGCTTTTTAAAAGCACTCCATGAGTCTTCTATTACACCCTTGGGTTTCCCCCTTATCATAGAATCATACAATGGTGTGGGTTGGAAGGGGCCTTAGAGGTCATCTAGTTCCAACCCCCCTGTCATGGGCAGGGACACCTTCCACTAGACCAGGTTGCTCAAAGCCCCATCCAACCTGGCCTTGAACACTTCCAGGGATGGGGCATCCACATCCTCTCTGGGCAACCTGTTCCAGTGCCTCACCACCCTCACAGTAAGGAATTTTTTCCTAATATCTTACCTAAATCTACCCTCTTTCAGTTTAAAACCATTACCCTTGTCCTATCACTACATGCCCTTGTAAAAAGTCCCTCTCTGGCTTTCCTGTAGGCTCCCTTTAAGTACTGGAAGGCTGCTCTAAGGTCTGCCGGGAGCCTTCTCTTCTCCAGGCTGAACAACCCCAACTCTCTCAGTCTGTCTTCACGGGAGAGGTGCTCCAGCCCTCTGATCATCTTCGTGGCCCTCCCCTGGACCTGCTCGAGCAGGCCCATGTCTTTCTTATGTTGGGGGCCCCAGAGCCAAACACAGTACTCCAGGTCATCTACAATGTTCCCAGATGTCAAAAAAATTGTTCTTAGTATCCCACAGAAGAGTGAGGACAAACATACAGTGACTTCAGCCAAGCACATTGTTCAGAGCATTCACAACCAGGCATTAAGAGAGATTTCTGGTTTGGTGAAACCATCAGCATCCTCTCCTTTGCCCTGTGAGCTAGGGAGCGAAGACACATGGGTCAAGCCTGGCCGTACACAGAGAGGGGTGCAGTAACCTCTTCTTTGTGCTGCAGAAGCAATGCTGAAGGAACATAGCTGGGTTTAATGCAGCACTTGCCGAGTTGGCCTGGTGACAGCAAGAGAAGAATCAGTCCTGGAGGCTTGTGATGGTGAGAAGTGACCCCTAAGGAATGCGACCAAAGTGAACCTTACTACTGAAATTATGCACAAGAATTTTTTTTCCAACCATTAAGGCAGTCGTGGCCTGTTGTGCAGCTGCAGAAATGAAGGACTCAGTAGCTAGTGAAAGGTTAAACAAAACAAAAAACCCCAACCCACACATGACATTGAATAAAAGGCAGTACTGTTACAAGCAAAGCCCATTTCTCTGGAACCATTTCCTGGTGCGAATTGCCATGTCCCTGTCAAGGCTACATCCCTGGCTGCTCATAGACCCCATGATAACCCACCTGAAACACTCTCTGCCAACGCACTCACCAAATTCAGATTGCGTTCCTGGGTAGATTATTCTGAAAACGTAATCTGTGGCTTCATCATCTTCCTTGTCGGATGCAGACTCGGAGGAGCCCTGGGGACTTCGCTTCCTCAGCTTGGGAAACACCTTCCCCTAGGTGAACAAAACCTGCTCTTCACAAGCCACCCCACGCCTGACCATGCAGGCCAGCGTGGTCGCTGCCTCGCTTGCCAAACTCCTGCCTAACAAGAACAGGCGCTTCCTCAGCCCAGATGACGTTTGCACATTCCCTGTGCTGGAGCAGCCGTTGGATTAAGCTTTCAATTACGTGGTGAATATATAACCCTGTTTGTGCACAGGGTATGTATAACCCACGCAGCACAGCCAGGTCCGTGAGAACCAAACCTGCCTCATGGCCAGCACTCCCATACCACCTCCCTCCTGATTTGCCTAGAAGGGTCTGTTTAGCTGGTCAAGGCCACAAGCTAAACCAAGCTGCCATGTTTCAAGCCCATCTTGGTTCTTAGTTTAGGGAGGAGGATTGTTTAAAATGCAGCAGCCACTAACGTCAGGCAGAAGAGTCCTCCCCATTGGCTCTGCTCTGAAATACTCCACAAGGGAACACCTGCAAGAACCCGCAGTGCTGTGGGCTCAGGAACAAGCCCAATTTTGGGGTGCTTACCTTTCCCCGCTGAGACCAGAGGGGTGGATCCAGCTGCCCATGGGGCAGGAGGCCATTCTCCAGGCAGGACAGGAACTGGAGTAAGTGCCCTCCTCTGGGGAACCGCAGCGGGGGTCTCTGAATCCCATCCTGGCTCACCAAGACAACAGTTCCACCACTGTCTACTATTAGCAATAGTGACAACAGAGAGAAGACACAGACATGAACATGGGAAACGTTACCAGTCAAAAATGCAGAGGGCAGGAAAGAAAACTCAGGGAATTGTCTTTCTGGTATAGAAAAAAAAAAAAAAAAAAAGACTTTTTCCCTTGTTTGGGTTCTTCTCTAAGTCCATTACAAGTCTGGGGCTCTGGAGAAGGCTTGCCTGGGAGATCACACCCTTGAAAACCACAGAGCATTGCTCTGCAGGGAGCAATCCCCAGCCAAGCACTACAGCCAGGAGCTGGCTTAAAGGTTTTTCTACAAGGACTTACATAGTAGTGACCACCCAGAGCTCTGGACATCTGCCCTGGAGCTGAATCAGAACATCCCCATAAGGGCACTCCCCAAAGATGTAATGAAGCAAATGTCAGGGTGATAACACCCTCCAGCAGCCCCCCACTCTGGCCTTACCTTGCTGGTGACAGTGCAAATAGACGATCTCCTCCAGGCGAATAGTCATGGCATAGTCCCAGTACACACTGGAACAGAGAAAGAGAGGAAGTCATGAGCTTCAGGGATGCAAAAGGCTCTGTTTCTATTCACATCAGCTCCAGATCCTGCCTCCAGCTATCCTGGCACCAGGGGAAGCTACAGAAAGGATGAGGTCCCAGCAGCAGTGCAACTGCCATGAAGCCAGCCTAAGCAAGTGACAACATCCCTCCAGAACCAGTAACTGTCCCAGCCACTACAGCTCAATCAGGGCAAGTCCAGTCCCACCTGCCCCGGGCTGTTTCTCTGTCTTCACATTGTTCCCAGATACGGACAATGTGCCCGTGGATCCTGGCAATTGCCAGGGACGTGGAGCCCTGCAGAGCTGAGCACTCACCTCTGGGCACCACGGAAAGGACTCCCTGCCCTGCTGCAGTGCTAGGAGAACACCATGAACCTGGTAGGAGCAGCCCCGGAGCCCCAAGGGAACGCACAGTGCAGTCCAAGCCTGGGCTGCTGCTCTGCTGAGCTCCTGTCCCCAAGGGAGGGGGAAATAAACCCTCGTAACTTGTGGGTTTTTCAAAGCTGAAAATAGATTTAGTCTCAGTTGCTTCTGTTTGAGAACTGTGCTCCTTTAGCAACGGCACCTCAAGGTGACTGAGCAAATCCAGAAAATGCTGGAGAGCTTCTGGTCACCAGGCAGGGCAGAAGGCCAGACAGATGCCAGGAGGAAGTCAGGGAAGGGGGTGTCTCCAGGAGACATGTTGTCTCACTCAGGGTTTCCTTTCTGTGGAGAGCATTAGCAAAAGCACTGCTCTCTGAGGTTGTCAGCATTTAATAACATCCTACTTCTTTTCAACAAAGCAAATTTCCAGATTTTGAGCAGCATTATCTGCCACTTCACAAAAACAGCACTTAAAATAAAGGCCTGATAAAATGGCTCATGAAGACAGTTAAGGACGGGAAGGGGTGCATGAGAGTCATTCCTTGAAGATTCATACTTACTTTGCCATCTGACTCCTCTCTTCCTTGGTCACATCTTGACACTGGAAAGTTTTAGAGCTTAGGCTGATGCCCAAGTCAAGAACTCGGAAAAGTAGTGTAGAGATGAAAATAGCATTTTAGGGGGAGGGTACCAGGCATAATGGAATGGCCCAAGGGCCAAGAAGAAAGGAGATGAAAAGAACACAGGTAAACAAACCCCAAAAAACTACAACTGCAAATAAACAAAACTGAGAACAAGTTTTGCTGAAGAAGATCTTTACCCTAGGTCAAAGAATCAGTGTCCTAAACACTCCAGCTTTCCTGAAGCGTTAGCTGGTGGAAAGGGATTTTGTTTGCTTTGTTTAATTTCTCAGGCAAATTGGGACCTGGCATGATTCTGTAGTTTGTTAAAAGGATTGCAGCTATCAAGAGAAATGCCAGTAGTCCATCAGGCAATCCCAGGCAAAAGGGCATGGCAATACACCTTGTCAAGCAAACTAAGCAGACTTCAGGCTGCCTGGAGGAACAAGCTCCAGGGACTCTGTTAAATCCAAGGGACTTTGAATACCTGCACGCAGGGTCAGCTGCAGACTGCACCAAAACAGCACTACAAAATGGCACACACTCTGTTACCCAGGTATGATTATCTGGGAACTGCTCATGTTCCCCCTCTCTGCCAATACTCTTCCCGTGTTTATGAGCTTCTCAGTTCCCCAGATTAAAATAATCACAATAAACCTGAAAGCACTGTGTAGGGTGTAGAGAGGGCATTCTCCTGAGAAAATCCCTGAGGGCAATAAATGAAACCACTTTGCATCTTTCAGAACAAGCACCCCCCAGTTCCTTTGCTGAACACTTCCCAGCAGAGATGGGCAATAGCACAGCATCTCACACTATCTCCTGCAGCCCACCTCTCCCACCACCTCAGGCCTCCTTTCCCAACCCTTCCCCTGTTACTGACTCCAGGATGATTGTTTTTGCTCTGCAGTCACTCACTGATGGCCTTGGACACCAGATCCAAACTCTGGACCAGGGGAACATTTGCCTCCCCTCTGCCCCATGCTAGGGCACACTCAGAGCCAGTCACCTCCTCTCGTAGTCCAGATCGCCCACAGAGCCGTTCATCAGCTGGTTGGGAGTCCACTTCAGTGCCATGATGTCAGCAGTCTGGTGAAGGGACAGATATCCCGGGATCGCCTCCATGTCATCTCGCTTGAGAAGAGAAACAGAGAGAGAGAGAGAGAGACAGAGAGATGGTGAGAGCAGGCTGGAAGACACCAGAAGCATGAAGCACCACCTCAGGCTACCCGAGGCTGAGCCATGCCCTGGAGCACAATCCCGGACCGTAACACAGCCCTGCCTGCTGCCCCTGAGCCCATCCACTCAACAACGGTGAGAAACCCACAGTAGCCCTGCAAAACCTCCCAGCAGAGACAACAGGACAGCTCACCAGCTTGGAGAAGGGCCGAGAGCAGCTGCCCAGCTGAGGCAAACTTAACAGCTCCACCTAAGCAGTTTGCACTTCATTTATTTGACTACAGTAAGCAGGAAGGGACAGAAGGAGGTATTTTGTGGCCTCTGGTCAAGAGAGGGCAGGGAGACGAGCCTGTTTCTACTCAGGCAGAAGCAGAGCTCTTCCATTCCACTGGGAGGATCCATACCACCAGTCACTGCCTTGCCAGATTAAAAATGAGCCTGTGCTTTTCTCCATCAAAGAGCAACCTGGGACAGAATTACCCAGCAGGGAGCAGAGCTGCATTTTAAAGCCCAGATGCCCCAGCAGGTACTTACTGGCTGCACCAGGACATTGTTCTTGCCATAGAGGAGCGTGGCTCGGGAATTCTGGTGCAGCGACTCCACATAGTCCCTGGCAGACAGCGATGGCCGGTCATCCATACTGCCACTCGAATGCCTTTTCTGAATCTGGAAGAGATCCACCTACAAACGTGAGGTGAGCACAGATGCCTCTTGCTTTCAAAAAGCTTCTCTTGAAAGCTCATTCCCTCCTCACTTATACACTTAGAAGAAAGTCACTACTAGAAATCTTTCCCCCTGTGCTCTCTAAGAGGATTCCTGGCTCTGGCCAAGCTCGATTCTGTACTTAGAGAAGTCCCAGGAGCGTGCTTTGTTTGCAATAAACAGGGCAGACTTCAGCTGCCTTTGCTTTTCGTTCACACATAAAGTTCTCAAAAGGCAGAGACCCCACGACGCAGTGCTGCATTGGTCCAGCAGCCTCCCCAGTCCTTGTTCCCAGCATTTCTGGCTTGAAGACTTCAAGTAACTGCACTTTTCAAGCAGATGGAGCCTCAAGCCCTGGTGAGCGCTGCCTGTGCACCCCAGGAGGAGCACTGTGAGGGGCTGTCACACTCCCAGCCTGGTCGTCCCCCTACTCACGCAGAGTGCCGGGCGCTTGGTGGGCGAGTCCTGGCGACAGTGCGAGCTGTGGATCCGGTGCCTCTGAACCAGCTCGTCAGCTGAGGGGTCTGTCCAGAAGTGGTCAGCAGTCTTCATCTTTGTGTACTCTAGTGCACAGGGCCCCACTGCGCAGAGAAGAAAATCGTAAACACAAGGAAGTCATCGGAGTTGTTCCAATGACTGTGGTCACCTCTCAGATCCCCAGAGCCCAGCACCTCAGAGCAGGGGTGGTAGGACAGCAGGCAGCAAGCACCAGGCTCACCACATATTGCTGCATTGTGTAACAGCAGCAAATAATTCAGAGGGGTCAGCTGGCCCTGGCAGTGAGCAATAACACACTGCCTGCCTGGTCACGTCCATACCAAGCCCTGCGTTGCAGCACTGCACTGCTTCCCAGATCCTGGCTTCAGCCCTGGTTTATGCCCACCAGCATTACTGAAGCCTGTGCAAGGCAAGGAAACCCTCAAGCTCAGCCTTGCAACTGTCCACCTGTATGCACTGCTCAGCAGCCACAGGGCTACCTGTCCAGGGTTATTAAGTTTTCTGAAGTTCTTACTAGGAAACAACTGCACTTCACATCCCTGATCACAGAACTGGGAACACAGGTTTGGAAAGCAAGCTGTCAAAGTAGGGTAAGAGGAAAGTGTTACCCAATAAGGATGCAAGAATTGGCCCATCCACGGGATCCATCAGGAGAGCTTCTTTCTCATAGTACTTACTAGAAAAAAATTAAAGAAAGCAGAATGCTGTAGCATTTCAACCCCTTGGGACTACAAAATGATAGAGACAGTAGTTTAAATCACTGTAATGCCCTTCTCCTTCTCTATCGCTCCTTGATGGTGAAAGGGCAAGAAGCCCTTAACAGGCTGTTTCTGCTAGTCGTGAAATTCCTGGGGAATTGATGCCCTCCTGCAGCACATTGCAAGCATCACCATCTCCTAACAAAGCATCCCCAGGACAGTAGATGACACCTGACCAGGACAGGACACCTCAGCATACAGTTTCCAGAAGTCAAGGGCAAGGACAATGCAGTCCCTGACAACCCAGCCGTCAGCAGAGCAAGTGTGGCCTGTCTTTATTTTAGGGAGTGTATGGTGGCCACCAGCAGCAGGGAATCAGTCAGAGTCCCTGTGATAGGCACAGAGTGACATAGCTGGCCTGTCCCATGCAGGGACTTCTCTGGCCCACTTGGACACAACTCAGCTAGGAACACCTCCAGCACCATCGAAAGGGGCAGATGCTGGCAGTGAGTTGGGACAGGCAAATGGTTGGCCTGTGCCAGCACTCACCTGCTGTTTTCTACCAAGTAATGCACGATTTTATCCAAGACCTTTTCAAAGAGGGCTGTGCGGATCCAGAGGTGCTTGATGGCTTGAGGAGACAGGTTGGGCAGCTTCGGCATCTTACGCACATTCTCCGGGATGCCCTGGACTTGATTTCGTCTTTAGAGGTACAAGGCAAAAGACAACAACATCACTGGCTCAGCACTGAGCACTGCAGGAGCCTAGGGCACTCATGGCACCTTGTGGGGCCATGAGGCCAGGGTTTCAGTGGTGCTGACTGGTGGCTGGGGAATGCCCAGGGAACCGCATGGGGACAGGGCTCTGGAGACTGCTGCCTTCATGTGTTCCACCCCCTACTCCAGAAGACACACGTTTACATTTGAAAAATGAATTCACTAAATCAGTTTCCCACTGTAAAGGCACCCTAAAACAAGCCTCTGCCTCAGCAGTCCTCCAACCCACACACCTTTTCCACTGGTGCCTGAGGACAGCAGTTCACAAGCAAAGCAGCTTATCTTAGGACAACATAAAGATTCCTGCCCCCAGGTAGCTGCTCCATCCATCTCCCTGGTTCCTGTCCAAGGATGAGTAAGCCACTCTCAAACGGGAGTTGAATTAATGCAGGTTCAAGCCCTGCACATTGAGGCAGACCAAGTTTGGTTCCAGTTGGCTTAGTGCACTGGCCCATAAACTGTGACAGTTCAGGAGCAAACATGCTTAGCTGTCCCTGAAGCATGAGACAAGGGGCAGAGGAAGTAAGAACTTGTCCATCCTAGCTTAAACCACAATTGCGACTCACAGTCTCCTAGAATAGCAACCAGTTCAGTCAAGATATCAAAAGCCCAGGACAGGACTCTGCTCCACTGAAAAAGCAATTCCTTCTGTAGAGGCTCAAGTTGGGCATTGCGATCCACAGCCATACCCAAACTACAGACCCACACCAAAACATGAGTGACCTGTGGGATAATAGCAATGCTGGTGCCTTACGCATTCTCAATGAGCTGCTCCAGGTCTTGCACTTTCTTGCAAAGCTCCTCTGCCAGAGGAAAGCTCTTTCCCACCTTCATAAACAGAGCTGCTATCTTGTTGCTGCGCAGGAATCCTGCTGCCCTCCGCTTCAAGCCGTACAACACACAGGCTTCCACAGCAGCTGCAACAAAGCAAAGCTGTTACTGAAGCAGCAGGCGAACTCAGAGCTCACATCACAACAGACGGTCTTCTGCTGCATCCATGACCTGACTCCACATCAGAAATGCTTCCCAAGAGGAAACCAGCACCATGGTCTACTTCTGCCTAGGCAGAGATTAGGGAACAGAGATGTCTTTTGACCCAAAGCAGCAGACAGTGGTACGGCTTTTCTGACTGCAGAGTCATCATTTCTGCTGACTATATAGAGGTACAATATTAGTTTTGCAAAACAGAAGAAAAATTGAGGCTGGTGAAGTCTATTAGAAGTTCGGCTAGCCTGAACAAAACGACTAGCTTGATGGAAGTAAACATGAACTGTGGGTGTGCCAAGATGTAAGAACTTCAAAGGAAAGTTAACCTGAGCCTGCTAAAGTAGATCCAGGGTCTCCCTGAAATCACCTGAGCGGGACCGGTCAGGGAGACTAACTTGTCTTGGACTGACTTATCTGACCAACCGACAGCCTAAAGAGACCTTACTAGACTGGTGATAAAATGGGAATGTGCAGCTTTTGGACCACAGAGATGGTACCTCTGTGCCACCAACAGTGAGCAGTCTGCGCTGATGTGCCAAGCTAGCAGCCTGGATTAGGATTTATCAGGGCGCTTTGCTCATTCATAAAAACAGAGCGGGAGAAAGGACTTGGACCGCTTTGCTCACAGCCCTTTGTTCTGAAAGTGCCAGGATCCAGCTCCACTACATGATACCCTGAATGCAAACAAATCGATGCTAACGCGGGGAAATCTCAGCATGCACGGAGGTTGCATCCTGCTTCTAGGTCTGTGCCAGCACGATCGCTGTCAGCAGAGCGGTGATTTTCCCAGCAGAGTAGTGACCAGCTCATGGCGTGGCAGTAATCGTATGGATCAGGAGCTGCCAACAGCCTGCTCATACAGAGTCACTCAGGTTAAGCCTGTGGGAGTAAACAGTTTATCTGTAGTTTAACAGCTTGGAGCTAAGTGTGGCTCTACACCGCACAGTGATGCATCTGGCTCTGCTCCCTTGGTTAAAGGGGCCTGAAACCATTTCGGGTGACCAGACTGTCTATGGGGCCAGCAGCCCCAGCCAAGCCTGGGACAGAGAGCAGGCTTCTGCAGTGTCATTGGGGAGGGCACTGCCAACAGCACACCAGACTTGGGATCCCTCTGCAAGGTCAGCACATGAGTCCCTCTCCTTTCTCTCCAGTGTGCTGATCAGTCCAGCCACCATCATTAACCAATGGGCTAGATGGAAGGATGGGATGTAAAACTTCTCAGACAATATATTTTAAGACAGAGAACATCCCCACCTGGCCTTCAGGAAAATGTCCTCATCAGACATGCAACAACTAACAAGCAAGCGTGCTGCATCTTCTCCAGGTAGGATAATTGCTTGGCTATGCAGATAAACAGGCTGACATTCTCCTCGCAGGTTTCTTGCAGATCATAGAGAAACCAAACAACTCCCTGAAGTTTTCCCTTCGGCCCAGTCTGAGGGATGGAACAGGAGATTTTGCCCCCTGGCCCCCTGTGCTGGGATGGTCCAAGCGAGAAGGAGAAAGCTCAGGAGTGAGAGGCAGGTACACTGAGGACTTCTAAAGCAGCAGAGGAAACGGTGCAATTTTTTCACAAAAAATCTCACTGTCCACGCAAACGTTTTCCTGAAAAACCTAAATGCAACAGAGAACCTGGGGATAAACCACAGGCAATGCCAGCAGCTCAGTCTGGCTTCGGAGACCCTCCCAGCTCGGTGGTGACTCAGCTGGCTCCTGGCAGCTGGTACTCAGCAGTTAAGTCCCCGTGCAAGGCTTCACCTAACTCCCTGCACTGGGCTCTGCCAAAAGGCAGCATCAGGCACTCGCCAAACCACAGCGAGTGCCCAGAAAGCACCAGCCGCCTGCCCTCTCCTGCCAGGCTCCCTGCCCAGGCACGCAGCAAGCGGGGAGCCAGCTCTGCTGACGATGGGAGACAGAAAGATGTGCACACGTACAGGCTCCACTGGCAATCTGTTTGCCAGAGTCCCCTGGGAGGGAGGGCTTAGGATGGATGTCTAGTGTCAAACACAGACTTATTAAACAGGCTGATCAAAGCACTGGAAAATTACACGGACTCACAGTTCTCCAGGCTATTGATCTGGGTCTGACAACAAGCTTTCTGGCACACTGGCACCCCTCCTTCCCCAGGAACCCGATGCTGCAGAGCCAGCCATGCTGAGCCTTCCCTGCAGCGGCCCAGCAGATGCTGATTCGCCTCTCGCTTGGAAAGGCATTTTTTTCCTACAGCTGAACAACTCTATGGAGACATTTTAAAAGATATTTCGTGCAGACCCATCAACATCAGCTCCCAGGGCTGAGAGAGACTCTCATTAGCTCTGCCCTTCTTAGTGCTATGCCCAAATTCACCATCAAGCAGGCAGGGCGGGTGTGCAGCATCTGAGGTGCTGCAAGACACGTCCTGTGCTAACGGCAGAAAAGCAACACATTTGGGCCAGCCGAGTCCTGCTCACCCAATACCAGCCATTCAGAGCCACTGGATGGATACCTAGTTTTTAAACAAAGCCGTACACAAACCCTCCTGAAGCCCAGAAATGCTGCAAATAGCATGGCCCATGCACGATGGGTCTTCCTACCTGTCCCAGAGGATTACTTGCAGCTGCAAAGTAAGACCAGACTGCTTCATGGCTTTGGGACCAAATGCAAGAAGACCCACCCCTCCCTCACACACTCAACTCATCCCACCCAACATCCCTTCATTCATTTGTTCTGTGCTCCAAGGCTGAAATACAAGTGACAGACACAAACAACCCTACCTGCCTGAGACTGCATCCAGTCATGCCCATTTTAGAGTGTCCAGCCATGGAGCAGGCATATCCCAAAAGCTCAGGCAGATCTCCGCTGCTAACCTCCCACAGTGGAGTCAACCCCAGTCAAGTGAGGCCAGGAGCTAGCTGGAGTGGAATTGCAAGCAGAAAAGCCACAGCTTTGTTTTGGGAATGCAAGGTTATGCCAACATACAGCTGAACAAGAAATCACAGCAGCACCTTCAAAACCTGGGGACAAGTATTCCCTCTCCACGGAGACTGAAGCGAGGGCGAGATCTCTGTGGGACCACACTGCCCATGCCAGCACTCTACCGATGGAGCTGGACTTCAGCCCCAGTGTCTGCTGCCAGCACTAGGCAGGGCACCATCACCCTCTCCTCTAAATTGTGTTTTTGGGGATTTCACTGTTCTCAAGCAGCCATCTCCAGCTCTTTGCAGCAAGAGCTAGCCTGGCTGGGCTCCAACGCTCAGCTGGTATAGCTGGGCACCGGAGCTGCTGGACATGGTGCAAGAGCAGCGCTGGATTTGTGGCACTCCCAGCTCTGCCAGGCCATCAGCTGTCAAATCAATGTACGCTGCCCAACAGCAACTTATCAGGGCCCAGTTTTCTGCCAGCTGCACATGGTAGCAGGAGGCCAGCAAGACAATGAGCCCAAAAAGCCCCTCTGTGACTCACACCCACCCTCGTACGCCAGAGAGACAAGTCTCGCAAGCAAGCCTGGGGCAGGCAGATGAGGTCTGCCTCTGCTGCCCACCAACATACCTTAGCAAACAAGGCACCCTCTTCCTCTGCTGGGCCCTGGACTGCCAGACGGTACTGAGCCAGGAGATGACACCCCACCCGGGCAAGCACAGGGCTGTGCGAAGCAGCCCAGCCGAGGGGCCACCGCGGCTCACAGCACCCCGACAGACAACTTCTGTTGGACACCAGATGCTCGATGTGCCATCAGTTCCACTCTGAATTTCCAGCAGGTGAGTGAGAGCACTCATGCTCGCGCAGAAGAGCAGCAGATCGCTTTGCTCATGTCACGGCCAGTGCATCACACCTCCCTGCCAGCTAGGGAGCAGCACACGGGAGAAAACCCAGACTGCTGAAAAGCCTCCCAGCACACTCCAGGAAGATGGAGCAGTCATCAGCATCTGTCCTCAAAACTGTAGCTTGAACCTCTCCAAAACACTACTCCTGCTGGCAAAACCACACCCAAATGTGCAGTCTCCATAGGAAAAACTCTCCCTGTGCTCTCCCAAGGGCTCAAAGGCTTGAGCACACAAACTAAGAGCACCTTGTCTACACTAAATGCAGGGGTAATGGTAGTTTCTTTTTTAACCTTATGATTTTTTAAGCCCAGATCATAACTTGCCTACTGTCACCACTGCAAACAGATGCTGCAAAGAGGCTCTCCCCATGCCTAAGGATGTAATCTATAGCAGAGACACACAGTGCAGGGTCTCCGTGCAGCTACACCCAGGTGAGGTGGGAGTTTTGATTCCTGGCAAAAGACTAAAGATATTTCTGAGATCCTGAGAGTGCTCTGGCCTGGCACGATTCAAACCACTCAGGGGTTGAGAACGAAGGCAGTCTCGGCACTGAAGTGGACAACAAGCCTCTTGGCTCATGCAGGCCCCCAGCCCTGCCGCCAGCTCTCCATCAGCCTCCCAGGGCAGCATGAACGTGACAGATGCCAACTCGCGTTTGTCTGCTTCATACCTTTCCCTTGCAGGCAAAACAGGGCAGCTGGGAGCAGCTGCCCTTTCCTGCCAGACCACTGGTTTCATCAGAAGGGGTTTGCGGTACGCTGGCTACGCAGAGGATGAGGAGGGCTCAATGAGGAAGGCTCTGTGAGGAAGGCAGCTCTCCCCAGAGAAAAGGGCAGCTCTGCCTAGCCAGAGCCAGGCTTGCAGCAGCATGCTCTGCTTGTCAGGAAAAGAGGTTATTTATGAGCTCACCCGGCTCATGGATAGTCACAACACTGAGCAAGGTGCGCATATCATTCAAATGAGAGCGCAACAGCAGACAGACCAGAAGGTGTAGACACCAGAAGCCAGTGAAAGTGCAGCAGCATCATTAAGAAGACAGAAGGAACCAACAAGCCCTTCGTGCCTGGATGCCTCAGCTCTGTGTCGCAGGAGGCTATAAATAATTCCAGGCTGCGAAGCCTCGTGCTGCACAGAAAAGCAGAGAATGAGTCACACCTTGAAGTCTGTTCTGCTCTTTCGATGCCATTCGGTCGACAGCGTATAAAGGCACACAGGCCTGAAACAAGCATCTGCATGTCTTTTATACGAGGGCCCAGGAGAAAAGGAAGAAGGCAGCCTCTTTGCTCTCCAAAGCAGAAAAGGAGACCTCCTCACAGCTCCCTTCTCTTTCTTTTTTGTGCCTGTATCTGTGGATGCTACGGCCTTATTCAGTGGCGACAGCACTGCACGAGCCTTCTTGGAGCAACTTCTTCAAAAGCTAGTTTTTACCTACTTCTGTCATTTTCTTCCCAGCCTCCAAATTAGCAAGTTGCCCTTCAGCTATCTGTAAATTGAGGAATGCCGCTCCCCCTCCACACGCTGTCTGCTGCATTTGCTCAGCAGCAGCCACATGGCCCCAGCCTGGGCGTGCTGGAAGCACAGCTGACTGTAACTCAGCAAACATCTCTGCTGAGAGCGACAGGCACAGCAAGCAGATCAGGCTGCAAACGGGAACAGGCTGCCACCCCCCTTACCTGGAAGCCAGGGCTCGTGGTGTCAGAGCAGAGCAGCAGAGAGGTTCCCTGGCACCTTCAGTCCCACGGCTGAGCCACAGGATGACAGGGAAGTTTCTCGGTTTGCCCTTTAAAGAAACTGCTTGCAGGGGACAGCCAGCCTCCTTCCCTTAACACAGCTTCTCTGCAGAAAGCAGGGAAGGTTTGTCAGCAGCTCTGTGCCCTGCAGAAAGGAGTACAGGTTGCTTCTGCCATCTAAGTGCTCTGCAGAGGCAACTGCTGGCCTGGGAAGGCCCCTGGTCTCAGGGGTTCACCACTGCATGGCAGCAAGGGACAAAGAGGTGCCCGAGACCTGCTCCAGGACCAGCCTGGCATGTTGCAGAGGCCAAGCTCTGCACAGCGGTGTCCCCAGGGATTCCACACAGACCTCCAAGGACCACGACGAGCAGGAAGGCCGTGACTATTAGGAAGGCTCAGGCCAAGGGAGCCCACAACACCACCTCCACAACATGGCATCGCTGGGCCCAGTCTCCAGCTCTGCAGCCACCAGCGCTGTAGCCTGCCTGCTCAGCCATTGCTCTGCATGTTAGCATAGACGCTACCACGGCAGCCAGGAGCAGGGAGAGCCGGCAAGTGGGGGATAGCACAGGCGCCAGGGCTGCAAAATTGGTGAGTGGGCAGAGAGGGAGCACAGCTTCTTCCAGCAGAGCTACGATGATGCCTCCTGTCTGTCTTCTCAGTAGAAATGTGTGAAACGGAGAGGGCAGCGGGCAAGCACCGCAGCCTGCTAAACCACAGGGGAGGCACAGCGTCCTCCGCAGTGGTACATGGCCAGTGAGTGTGTGAGATCAGACTGAGCCAGGAGAAAGGGCAGCACTCACCTTGCAGATGGAACCTCTACCCATGCCAGGGGCACAGGCACGCATGCCACACTCCCCAAAAGCCCCTTCCAAGCAGGGACAGATGCTGTGCTGTAGGACAAGACATCCTGCCCTGGGTGTCAGCGGGCAGAGGGAACTCCAACCACTTCCATCAGGAGTCCAGTGTAGGAAGCTTTTCTTGCAAAATTCAAGGAGCATCCCAAGGAGGGAAATTCCACTGATTTTGGTGGATGGAGCTTCATCTCACATGTGCAAGAGGAGAGGCACAACAGGGTAAGACACGGCAGAATCACTAGCCCGCAGCAAGCCACCTTCAGCAAACTACCTCCATCATTTGCCCAGTGCTGTCAGTGACCAGCAGCAACAGCTTTTACATCCACATCCCCCTGAGAGCAGTACCTGGCAGGAGAATCACTGCGTCTGGCAGGAGCCTGGCAGAACGGTCCATTGCAAAGCTGACTGCTGCTCTATATAACACTGCCAAGGGAAGGAGCTATAAACAGGTTCAAAAACTAAGGCACCTGGGAAAACCACCATTGGGCAAGCCTACTACCAAGCTGCAGGACAGCAAGGGACTTGCTCTTCTTCCGTAGCGGTCACTGGTGTCTCCCCAAACCAGTATCCTACTCTCAGACAGCTGCTAGTGAGGAGATAGAGGCAGATGGAGGGCACCAGGCGCCTTGCCAAAGCATGCTCTCGAGCTCTGGGTGAGTGGGTAAACACTTGAGACTGACAGGACTGCCAGGGCACAGAAATCACAGCTCACATCTCTGATTAATGCTGTCCCTTTGTTTCCTTGAAGTCCCCATCTGGCTCCAGCTCCATCCCACCTGCACCCCCAAGGGGCCAAGGAATTTTCTTATCCATGCAGCACCTAGCACAAAGGGCCTGTTCCACAGCCAGGGCTACAACCACCTCACCGATCCAACAGCCTGAAGTGCTTGCCCTGTTATCAACAGAGTAAGACTAATTGGTTTCTGCCTAGGTTTGAAATTCACCAAACACCCCCCAGTCCACCAGCCAGGTCTCCATACTTTTGCAAACACTGACCCTGGTAGCACTTGGCGGACTGGACAGCTGAAACTGCTGAAAAAGCTGTTTTACCTGGGCATTGTCCAGGCAGACACTTATTCTCCAGCTTGAACAGGTGACCAAAGCTGCACAGAAGGGCCAAAAGAATAGAAATAATCTCATTTTACCACCTTGATTGCAAAGTCTCCCCTCATGATCAGCAGTGATCCTATTAAAGGGCAAAATTCTGTTTTCATCTGTCAGAGAAGAGGTGGCGAGCCAACATGTTGGGCCGTTAGCACCGCTCCATGGGCTGGTCCAGCCCCCAGAAACCTTCTCTCGTGCAGTGCAGCTTCTGAGAGGAGCCTGGGCACTGCTGCCAAACAAGCTTGCCAGCCACACCGCACGTTACTGCATCACAGTCGCAGTTTGGGCTGCCACAAACCGTGCTGCTCCACGGGAGCTGGCGGGCTGCCCTGAATGCTCCTCCTGGGATGCGCTGGCCTGCCGAGCTCTGCACCAGGCAGGGTGCTGAGACCTGACCTCAAACTCGTTCCTGGTGGCACGTGTCACAAGGCTGCTCTCTCCTGCTCCACACTACCTCTGAGATACAAACACTCGTCCTTTCCTGCTCCACAGTTCTCGCCCAGAGTCGCCCCAGCATGTATGGCACACACAGTCCAACAGCTCTTCAGGGAGGTTTTTAAAAAAAGCTTTGCCGTGATTTTGATGGATCCATCCTGAAACACTTCCACGTTTACAAAATTGTCACACCAGTAGAAAAAAAAATAGGTGAAAAAAAGCAGGTTAAGTGAAAAGCACAGCTGCCAGAAAACAAGCCGGAAACCAGCACAATATCACAGCAAATCTTCCACAAGCTCCATTTAAAATTCTTTAGCAGCCTTCAGCCTCTCTGCTCCTGCACTCAGGCAGACTGAAGACTCCCTTCCATAAATTCCTATTCCATAATAGCAAAGAAATATTTGGACTTGACAGACTTTCTGTTGCATCAATTCTCAAGGGAATTAAGAGATTATTTCTAGTATTTCTTAAGTGACTGTATACACTGCCAACATCCCTCCCTCTTTTGACACACCTCAATATATTTCAAGCCCAGAGCAAAGGCCTCAGGGACTCAGACCGCTGCCAGAACAACTCATCCTCAGGCACTAACCACCTCCCCAGCCCCAGAGCTGGAGCGTGCCTACCACAGTCCCTGCACCAGGCAGGGAAGGGTGAACATGAAGAGGGTGCTCCAGCCCCCCAATTCATGTCAACATGTTGCCACCAGAGACTCACCACAGAAGGAGATGATGTGGCTGCTGTCCTCATGCACAAACTTCCTCGTCACCGCCTCCTCCATGATCTGCTTCACCTGTTGAACAGAGGTCTAGTTAGAGAAAATGTTGAATTTCAACCATAGACCAGAGTGAGAAGACCCGCGGTGGAGTCGGCATGAGGTGCTCTGCTTGCTTCGTGTCTATAAGGAAACCTCTTCTGCTCTCCGAGTTCTCTAACTGCCTCAAACAGCTCAACAGGTCTCACAGAGTATCACTGCATCTTTGCTTGTTGAGCATCACCAGCTATTTCAAAAAGTCAGATATAAAAAAAAAAAAAAAGGGTTGTTCTGTTTTTGAGAAACTTCAAAGAAAAACTATGAGCAGAGAATTAACTGCAGGAATCAAGCATCATTTAGATAAAAGACATCTTAATAAAGGTAACCAAATCTCATATTCAGTGCTTTTACAGTATTGTTATGTTCTTTCATTTTCTGGGGATTTGACAAATTTCATGTGACATAGCTGTCCCAAATGACTGTAGCTATCTGTCGATGCCAAAGTCAATGAACACCTGGCACCAAATGTGCCCAGGAATGCTATTTGCATAGCAATGCAATCAGTCCTGCCCTCCAAGTGACTGAGTCTGTACTGCTCATGACACATTTCTGGCACTCATTTCAGTGCAATTAATCAAAAGGAAGCTGTCGTATAGGTTGCGCATCAGGGGCACGATTAGGGGGAGAAAATAAACAGGAACCCACATAAATTAGGAGCGTAATTTTTGCATACACAAGATGGGAGGTCAGACCTGCCAGGTAAGCAGGCTGCAGAGAACAGATTCCAGCTTTGGAGAAGCTCCCAGGACTGCCTAGCTACTCCACAGCAGTAGCTCAGAGGAGCCTGAGGAGTCAACGACTACCAGAGCAAGAAATCCAAGTACCCCAAGCACTGCTGCTCTTCCACTAGTACCTGTCGCTGCCAGCACTGACACGGCCCAGCTTTCCCTCTCCCACTGAGAGCATCCCTTTTGTAGCATACAGACCCCTCAGACCTGTTTCGGAGATATGGCAGGGTCACCCTGTAAAGAAGTGCTAATGAACTCATTGTGCATTAAAGCTGTCTGTTACACATGCCCTCAGAGCCAGCAGGTACAACACGCTGCTATGAGACTGGTTCTCCATGGCTCAGCTTTAGCAGCTCAGACAGAACAGGATTATTCTGCAGGGCTCGCCCTCACCCTTTGGACACAGAGCATTGCCCACCGTGCCTGCAGCCTCAACAGATGTACCTGAGCCAGCTCTCAGCTCTCCAGCCCACCTTCCCATGCAGACTGCGTTGTTTGCTTGATATTTTGGAGCTAGAAAACTGGGCTAGGCCGAACTTTGTTCCAACCCTACACAGCAACTGCAGGTTGCAAACTTGAGTCGCTTATCAAAGGAGAGGATTTTTTTTTAAGTGCTTTGACTGCCTGTTTCCAATGATCAGCTTCCAACACAGGTTGCCAGCAGACTGTCCCACACCTTGCTGAATGTCTCCTGTTGGAAGGATGCTGTCCTCCCGCCGTGTCTCCCAGCGCTCCTGGGAGCTACCTTGCTGATGTGCTGAACTCAGTTATTGTCTACAAGGAGGATGGTGAAAGGAGCATCTGAACACATGCTGCTGCTAAACAGTAACGGTTCAGTTACTGTACTCCACAGAGGTGACTTCTCCCAGTGCCCACGAGTTGGGGGAATACTGCTCAGGGTGCTCTGACTTTCAGGGTGGGATTCTGCATGAAATGCCCTTAAAGCTGGATTATGTGGGGGAATATGGTCCTGCGATCAGGGCAGAGCAGAGCAGGGAATGCAGAGCAGCTGAGAGCTGCCTCAGCTCTGAAGCAACATCATCTCTGTTTGCCCCCACACCTCTGTAGGATGCAGGAGCTGCACACAAGAGATGTGGAGTTTAGTGCTCAGGGAGGTTTGAACCTTGCTCAGAAAGTGCTGGAGAAGTAGGTGTTATTAATGAAGTAGGCAGCCCTAGACTGACGGCCCCATGAACCACCATAGCTCTGCCAGCTGCCGTCCTCCAGCCACACTGCTTCCTCGACACCATGCCCACCACAGCCTCACTGGCAAAGCTCTGCCACCTCATACCAGCAGACCATAGGATCTGCCATCCCTCTGCCTGTCCCCCCCATCACCCCACAGCCCTGGTGTCAACACTGCAGCCTTTTCAGGCAGACCCCAGCTGTCCTGCTCCCAAGGTGCCGTGCCTGTTACAGCCAGGCTGCCCTACCCTGCTTGGAGCACCGTGACTTCCATCCCCAGCTGTCACCCTCCCTAATCCTGCCGAAATCAGAAAAACTCCAGCTGAATGTTTGGCCCTTAAATGTTCAGTTCCTAACTGTTTTTTTTAAATGCAGAGCTGCCAGCATGCCTGGATCTCATCTTCTAGTGCCTCTATAACATCTTGCTTTTCACTCTTTAGTTTCAGAAAACGCAGGGGAAAGGGTTCAGAGTGCAGAGATGTGGGTGTAAGAGAGGCTCTGCTTATCAAGATGTTCTCTCTAAAGGCACCGGGAGGAGGAAAAAACAGCAGGTCAAGACTTGACCAAGCAAACCTTATATGTATAAGAGACCTTTAATGGCATCATTTGGGGAATTAAACTCCTTTGAAAGATTTAATCAAGGTCATTCAGGCACAGCTGACAGCAGCTCAATAAAGGAAATCCTTTTACAAATATGGATTAACAAAAAAAAGTCATATCTAAAGCCAAAAGCATCTCTGCATGTCAAAACAATCAGGTCAGCTTCCAGCGCCGCTCTGCTCCAATGTGCTGGGTGATTAACAGAGCCTGCTTGTGAACTCAGCGGGAGCAGGACTTGCACAGTGATTTCACCTGTATCCCAGCACTCAGATGAGCTGACAATGAGTCAGGAACTCGCAGCAGGGAACATCACCGAGATGGATCTTGGGACTGGAGGTGGCTCAGAGTGCTGGAAATTCACCTTGGCACAGCACGATACAGCTCCTGCAGCTCCTACATCCCAACTCTTCGCTCAGAGCAGCAACTCCAGCTGCCGGAACACCCTAGGCACAGAGGTCTCCACTTCCAGAGACCCACAAAAAAAATCTCCCTCCTCTACCTCAGTGTTTTATTGTGGCAAGTGGCCCAAAACTGCAGCTGTCCCCTATCAGGGCACCTTCCTGCAAGGCAAGGCCAGGTGAGGTTAGCAAGCCCTTCATTTCCTTACACCCCACGCATAGTTTTACCCCTTGTACTGTTGCCACATGCTGAGCACCACGGAAGGGGGCAGCTGCAATCCTCAGGCTTCACGGCTCCAGCAGTGTTTTATTTTAAACTTTAACAACAGAAGGACCACTGTGAAACAGAAACAGGGACAGAGCAAGTCCCAGCAACAGGAAAGGAGTCCCCCTCTTCCATTTGCTGCATTATAGCGAGACATATCCCTTGACTCGGGCTGCAGTGGTGAATTGGAGACGGGAAACAGCACACACTTATTGTCCAGCAGCAACCAGCGCCCAGGTGCACGCCAAAACAGAGTTCCTCCTTTTCGTCCACCTGACATTACAAACGTCCAACAAAAACACGCCAATCCCTGCTTTTGAAACCCTGATCAGCCCAAGAACCATCACCAATCAGGCCCTTGTCGCAGCCCTGGCAGAAAGGTCCAGCAATGCATGATTTGGGGCCCTCAGGGATTCCCCAAAATTAGGCTCTCCCAGCAGGTTGAGTTGTCTTCGTCCAGATGGCTTATGGCCCTCACCTGGCCGGGCTGAGCTTCCTCCGTCAGCAGGTCATGGGCACTTCCCTCTCACATATCAACTAATCTACTAGAAAACGATGAACACACAGATATAAAATGTACTCTCACGGCAACACTGGTATTGCCCCTATTTTAATCCCCTCAAAATACATTTGAGCATCAATGCACATAGCTACATAGTTACCAGCTTCTGATTAAATTAGGAACGTATTCAAATTTAAGCAGTATATTCAAATATTTGTCAGCCACCTTTCATGCAAGCCGTCATCTCACTGCTCTGATGCAACGCCCGCAGTCACACCTACCGCAGGACTGCCTTCTGTGGGGCACGGACCATCTGCTTATCCAGTGCCTGTGGAGCAACCAGCACAGTGGGACTCCGGCTCTGACTGGGCATCTTGGTGCCAACACAGCACAAACAACCTGCACTCTCAAGGCACACAAAAAAAAACCTTCCAAGAGATGCAGTTTAGTGGAAAATTACTCATTACAAGAAAAAAAAAAAACCAACACTGTATTGACTAAGGTTATCACACTAAACAAAATAAATCAAAGATATCTAAAGAAACAGAAGTGGAAAGGGCATTACAACAAGGGCACTCACCTGACGTGAAGTGCTAGAGCAGAACCGGAGCAGCTATACAACAACTACAAAGCCCCAATAGGTAGGAGCCAGACAGATAGATACAGTCTCGTAACAGAAAACAAGTGTTATACCGAGAAAGTTTTCAAACAAAACAATCTTACATTTGCCCATAAATGGACATGGCTGGCATCTATCTGTAGGACAGCTCCAATCCAGAGAACCCCAAAACTCTTGACAGGTCTCCTATGCTGTTGTCTGCAGATCCCGAAGGACTCTCCCACCCGGACCCCAGCCCCTCCACAGCCAGCTGGAACCACAAACACTGCAGCAGCAGCCATCTGCCACAGTGTTCCCGGACCCTCTCCTGAAAGCGAAGTGGGTTTGTGACACTGCGGGGATGGAGAACACCAGCTAACCCACATTTGGCTCACTCCATAGAGAAGACTTGAACAGCCTCTAAATATGCTGCATTCCAGCATTTTAATGCTAATTGTCATATTGTAGCCAGAACAATCTCAACAAATGAAGCTGCCCACTCTTTATCTAAAGCCAGTCTAAGGAAAATGAGATGTTTGCTCTTCTTTTATTAGAAAGGAAATTAAAACAGCAACTAATAATTTGTGTGTAGGTAAACTCAAGAGGAATATCATAAAATATTCCACAGAAATAAAAACACTTCTCCTGGCTCCAGCTGTGAACACAGGACAAGTCACCCCCTGCTCTGGGACAGCAGGGTCACAGGGAGACCCCACAACAAGGTGTCCATACAAACCCAACAGCATCAATTGCAGTTCCAAAAATACAACAAAAGACAGGCTAGTCTCGACATTACTGTCTGACTCACTGACTTGTGAACAAGTGAGCTAGTCCTTCTTTGTTTCATGTGCATGTCTGAATTACAAGGAAAACAATTTCTTTTCCTCTTTATCCCTTCTCCAAACCTGGATCCAAGAGCCACAGGCAATGAGAAGAGTCCTTGGGTTATTCCATGAATCGGGGGCATCAGGAATCCCAGCACACCCACTTCAGACCAGGGATTTGAGCTTGCACCCCCATACCTCCAGTGAGGCTCTGGATCTCAGAGGTCTCAGCCTCTCCTTTGGCTCCCCTGGGCGTGGCCAGCTCCATCGCAGCGAAAACATTGCTATTAAAATTTTGTTTGACACACTGCTTCCCCCCGCCCCCGCTTCAAAAATAAATGAAAACAAAACCTTACCTATCCAACAGTCCCCAGACCCCAATGAGAGATGCAGGCTTAGATCTCTCTGCTCCAAAACTCCCAGGGTTACGGTTCATCCCAAAGTCCAACTTGCCCATAACAGAGCTTCATAACCGTACCCAGTCCCAGCTGTCATTTACATTGGTGGAGCAAGCCAAATATTACAGCAGTTACAATAACCACCGAGGTGCAGAGATCAGGAGCAAACCAATAACTCTGGGTTTAATTAGTCTAAGGCAATATTGACTCAAAACTCTGTTTTACCTGACTGGATGTTTCCAGGCAAGTCACCATACAACCTGTACTCCAGATGTTTACAGTCACAATTTCCTCTGCCACACTTCTTGCAAAGCGTTTCGCTGGTTATTAAGGCATCTGTATTGAAGTGCAGCATCTCCCATATATTTGGCCATGCTCCTAACTCTGTGGAATTGTTTATAGCAAGCCAGATGCAAACAGAGCGCCCAGCTTGATCCTTTTCCGAGTCCTGTTTCAAGGTGAAGCTTGGTCACTTTGCCAGAAGGGCTGCAGAACAGCAAGCTCTGTGCAATACGGCTGCGGTGACGCTCCCAGGCATGGGCCTGTTTGCTAGACCCAGCCTCACGGGTCCCCAAGACAGGACCCTGGCAGATGGCCTCTGGTACGGAGACACACAGGTAACCGAGCAGTGAGGCCGACAGCCGGGTGCTCAGACTCCTTTGTCCCCCTCCAAAGGGGCAAAGCAGCCAGACAATGAAGCATGTAGGGCCAGAGCAATGGGAGAGCAGAACCAGGTCTGATTTCAGCCGTTGTAGTGGGACTTTCCACAAAGAGAGTCACGTCATATAAGTAAAAGCTACAATACAATAAACGTCTCCAGTGGTTGAGTCGGTCTTTGCAAAAGTATGGTTTTAGAAACTGCTATCAATCTGGTTTGGTCAGAAACTGTAAGACCTTCTGCTGAATGTTCACGTAACCTGTAATCCTGAAAACAAAAGACTTACAGTAAAAAATATAGTGGAAATTAAAATGTCTTCTGCTACCTCTGAACATCCACCTCTGCATGGAATGTCCAGGATTTGGGTGGGATGAGATGAGGCAACACCAGAGCCAGGAACCTGCACTGTCTGTATCTTCTCAGTCTCCACCTTGCCTAGGAGGGCAACCAAGCACCAACCATCATGGTGCCAGACAAAACTAGTCTGCTCACCAGCAGCACTGCAACAGCTCTGAAAAACCCCAGCAGATACAGGAGCAGCCTTGGAAATCCTTCCCCCTTCCCATCTCTTTCTAACAGACTGCAGGAAGATGACTCCTATCCCAAGAAAGAGCATCCTAATAAGCATTCAGCACAAACAAGCACTGTCTTCTGGATCTACAACTGCCACTTGTCATTCAAGTCTCTTCACTAAATCTCAGTGCATTTCTTTTCCATGAACTTGTTTAATCTGCTCTTCTATGTTAAAAAAACCCCAAATCTAAACAAACAGACAAAAAAACCCCCATAACCCCCCCCCCCAAAAAAACCCCACACTGATGATATAGGCTTTAAACTTGGTTTGCTTTTGTATGTCTGCTTTTCAAATTCTTTTATGAGCTGGTGTTTTCTCATTCTCATTGCAGTCTTTAAGTGCTGCTTTGACTACATGTTGGAAGTTAATTCTAGCACTTAAAAATCCCATTTTACGTGTCAGTTTTGGTGCAACAAGTCCACGTGGGCACTCCTTGATGTAATCTGAGCATTTCTTTAATTGCTTCTCTGAATCAAGGTCTCTTTCCAGGAATAAGCTCTGGTTAAGCTCCACAGGAAACAGTTTCCCATACACTGTGCAAGACTTGTCCACGTAGCACTACAGTATTATCATTTCTCAGGTATTATAAAATGCTAAAGGATCACTTTAGCAGGTGCAATATTAGGACTGTCCTAGGTATGTTTGTATTTGCAAGGACAAACATGATTCCCTTGCACCGCAGTTCCAGCAGTCACACCGCAGGGCTTTGCCACCAGGTCACCCAGTTAATGTTTCCCCGCAGAAACACGAGGCTGGTTTTTTTCTCCAGCTCTTAGGTTGGCTTGTACCAAAGGTGGTTCAGTGTCCCAAGGCAAAGCAAGTGCAGCATCTCTGTTCAGCTCTAGGACACAAAGACATTACGCCAAACCCCAAGTCCTCCACTTCTGGACTGTCCACTCCAGTGCCCACAGAAATCTCTGTGGGGCACAGCATGCTGGGGATGGTAAATAGAAAAATCAGTACATTCAATCACACCACCTGCGCTGCAGCTAAAAGCCACTTTTTCAGCTAAAGTGGAGCTTCTCAGTTCAATACCTTTCACAAACCAGATTTATCTTCTCATTCGAAAATGAAATGTCTGCCTATTGCCTGCCTTGTTGCTACAACATCCTTTTTTAGCAGACTTGTTTATAAAATTCACATGATCAAACTCAGTGTTGCAACATACAGTTTCTTATCTTTCCAGCAACAAACACCCTGATTATTCCAAAAGCAGGTGCCAGACAGACTTTTCCAGCACCATCACAAGTTGCAGCCAAGCTCTGCCACTTACCTAAGTTTACTAGCTGACCACTAAGTAATTCCAATTAATTGTGCTCCAATCAGTTAAAACACTGCCAGCTTCAGAGTACATGCACTATTTACACAAGAGACTTCAAGTACTCTCGCCAGCCATTTTGATGGACCACCGAGAACACGGCCTCCTCGTGGGAGGACAGCACAGGGACAGCTCCAATGGCACCATGCACTTTACATGCACTTGCCTTTAAAGCCGTTTGGCAGCTCCGTATTCTTGCTGCCACAGAAACATTTATCGCAATCCTACCAATTGAGACCTCTGGCTTTTATAAAAGTCTTATTTAATTATTTATCATCACTTACTAAACAAAACATAGCACTTTCTGCAGCTGAGGTATCATCCACGTGACACGTGGGATTTTCAGACTTTCCACAGGAATCATGTGCACTCACAGCTGGGAACTGGGCTGAGCCTCCTTGGGGGGCTAAGGAGGAAGAAGGTGGTTATATGCGTTAACTCTGAATATTTGGACAGTTTGCTGGAAAAGAAGACAATAAATAGAAGGGTCCATAATGCAACATTGTACCTTGGGGGAAACAGGAATGATCCCAGTGATGTATATTTGCTGACAGTATTTTGCACCAGACTTTCTTCATAGGGCATCAACTTTTGGCCAAAAATCCATACGTACAACACTAATTTAAGATGACTTAAATTCATGTTATAACTGGTTCTATTCCTGTTGTGCTTGTCAAACACAAACTTCCATGCCATCTGTTGGCACTGCTGGTACTGCTAGCTGTGAGATGCTCAATAAAGACACTGCAACATTTCAGGAAAAACTTTAGTCATTTCTCTGTTTTCAATGCCTGATCTCAAAGCTTTACCCTGTTTTGTTCTGCACCCATCAAACCACAAAGCTTCTGTTTTCCAAGGTGCTAAATGTTACGCTGACAAGCATTTTGGATTCAATTAACAAACGTGGCAAAGACTGACACTACTCGCACTGAAACCAAGTGCAACTTCCAGCCCCGAATTGCTTTGAAGTCCTGAATCTGTGCAAAAACAGGTATTTCCATGGCGACAGCCAGGACGCCACAAGGAGAAGAGGATGACATTTTGGCAGCAGAGAGGAGAAGCTGGGTGGGGAGGAAGGAGGCTCCTCTGGCATACAGATCTCGTCTCCCTGTATGCTGAGAAGGAAGACGAAGGAAGGAGGAGAGCAGCACGAAACCTTTTCTGGGTATGAGAGATCAAGCCAGGGGGTTCTGGAGTATGAGAGCACTTCTGCACACCACTGCTTTTATCTTCAAAAGGAGAGAAAATGGTCCCCAGTGATTAGTAATACTCTCTTCAGAAGAGGTCGATGCAGGCAATCGAGAAATGCTGCATTAAAGCTGTCTGTTTACTTTTGATATAGGAACATTTGAAAAAGGCTGACCTGGGTGCTTGAGAGGCATCAGAAAGTCCCTCTGCAAATAGCCACTTTCATTACAAACCTGCAGCTTATCATCCTCATCTTCATTTTGCCTCAACAGTTTTGACAGCTACACAAAGGCCTTTTTTTTTTAAATTGGCCTTGAGAACATTTAAAGCTATCAACATTAATTTTTCAAATCCTAATAACATTAAATTAATTTACAATTTTCTACCAATCCAGAATGAAATAGCTGGCATTGACACCCGCAATCTGATATTTTGGAACCACAGGCATACATACACGCTCCAGAAAAACAAACCCAAGCTGCAAAAATATTGCTCTTACCAGTCATTCTGCGTTACTTAGCCACAAACTAGACAATATGGCTGCGTAGCGGGGGCACATCATTTAAAGGGTGGGAGGAAGACAGACTGACTGTTGTCCCTATGACATATGATGATGGAATTAGTCAACAGCTCCATAGTGACAACCATTCAAGCTATTAAAAAATAAAAAATATATCCGATAGAAGACCGTGGGACATCAGCAAGTGAGCAGGCTTTGGTCAGTCAACAACAGTTTCTTAAAAAATTCTAAGAACAGGCAGCAAAATATTCAATACAGGCACAGCAGTTATTGACGAGTAAAAGACTTAAAGCTACTCGCTGAGTGGCAGGTTAAATATAAACTAAATTTGTGCAGAAGAATAAGCAAGACAACTGTTTACTTTCATATTCCATTCAGCTTTTCACACAACTAATTTTCCAGGCACAGTGTAGTACAGCCTGTGTTTCACGGGTAACACCTGCTTCCCCACCTATTCTTGTATGCACTGCAATTACCTAGAGGTAGTCCAAAACATACCACAGGATTCTCCTCTATTAAAAATGAAACCTGCAAAAGAAGGGGAGGAGCATGGGTTGCAAGAAGAATATTTTTAGTTGAAAATCCAACACCCTTTTAAACCTGGATATTTCA